CACACACACACACACACACACACACACATATATATATATATATATATATATATATATATAAATATAAATATACACACAATATTTTATTTGAATATTTATTGATCAAAAGCAAGTGTTTTAGGAAATGTTTGTGAACAACCCAGTGGCACAGTTGTGTGTGTAAAAACAGCAGAAGTGGTCACTGGTCAGGTTTTGCTTCCCCATTGTTGTGTGATTCACTTAAACATGTCGTACGTTAACTTCTCACATTCAAATAGTTTTCACTCCCAGGTAGGTGTATTTGACTCATGTTACTACTGTTCTTTTCTAAAGGTTTTTTATGACCGGTTACCTTCCCATTGGCTTTGAATTTGGCGTCGAAATCACATACCCTGAGTCGGAGGGCACATCATCTGGTCTTCTTAATGCATTTGCACAGGTATGTAGGACCTGCTCATTCCTGACTTGTTTCATTTTTACAATAAGCTTTCAGTTGATCATTTCCATACGCCATGGTAACCACTTTCAATTTGAACAGCCTGGTAAGATGCACACCCACATTAAAATTGATATACTTAGTTCTTCAGCATTTCCTCTATGTATCCTCTAATATGTTGAAGAACAGGTTTAAAGTCTTCTTGAATAAGTCATTGTTACTTACATATTTTTGCCTCATACTCTACTGTCTTTAATTTTAGGTGTTCGGCATCATTTTTACTCTCATCCAAGGGCAGCTTACCACAGACTATGGCCCACTCAGTGGAAACATTTTCTTGTGTGCTTGGATCCTCCTTGGCATTGTTCTAACAGGTTCATTTTCCTATTTACAGGCCTTTCTCTCATTAATCAGTAGTGTTACTGAAGAGCATTGAGAAACTTCTGTGTTGTTTTTACAGCTCTGATTAAATCAGACCTCAAAAGACACGGCGTCAACGTGAGCAATATAAACAAAGGACAAGCAGTAAGTTAATCTGATTTTAATTTCCAGTGTTGCCTCTCATCACTTTTGTGAACTAAACATGCCAAACACCAAGAGGCTCAACCGTGCTAATCTTGATAATATGAAGTGGAAGATATCTCAGTACATTTATAATCAGTTAAGAGAAAGATCAAAGTCAAAAAGGACAAAAGCCATGCTGTGGGTCTGAGAAAACTGGCCAAACTAATCTATTATAAATGTGAACATTGGTACAGGGAAAACAGGCATTTTGCCTATCAATAATAGAGTAAAATGTAATGTTAATGAATTGGATTCCTTATATATATATATATATATATATATACACACACACATTTTAAAATTATTCGTTTTTTTTAGAAAACAATTATAATATAAAACCACACACATCATATTTTATGGTCAATGCACACTACCACTCAAAAGTTTGGGTTCAGTATGATTTCTTTAAAGAAATTAAAGTTTATTCCGCAACTTTTATTCAGAAATAATGTACAGTATTTGAAAAATAATGTGTTTTTTGAACATTAAAGCATGTCAACATATTCTGTTACACCAAATACACAAAATAATGATCTTTAAATTAGCATCATATGACCCCTTTAAAGAAATTAACACTTTTATTCAGCAAGAATGTGTTTAATTGATTGTAAGTGACAGTAATGGCATTTATAATGTTGCAAAAGATTTCTATTTCAAATAAATGCTGTTCTTTTGGATTTTTCTATTCATGAAATAATCCTGAAATGTGTTTTTCACAGTTTCGCACATCTATTTTCAACATTGATAATAATAATAACAATAAATGTTTCTTGAGCAGCAAATCAGCATATTAGAATGCTTTCTGAAGGATCATGTGACACTGAAGACTGGAGTAATGGCTGCTAAATATTGAGCTTTGCAATCACAGTAATATATCACATTTTAAAATATACTAAAATAGAAAATGTATATTTTAAATTGTAATAATAGTTTAAAATGTTATTTATTTATTTATTTTTCAAATAATAAAATAAATGCAGCCTTAGTGAGCATAACATATTTCTTTCAAAAACACACACAAAAAACTTTTGAACCTCAAAATTGGCCTATATATGAAACCTTGGACACATTCACAGGAATAGTGTTTATATATAAATAGCATCTCACAAACTGCCATTTGTGTGACCCAGTTTCCACCAAGAGGACGTGTAGACTGTGTGACATGTGAGTGGATTTACTCATCCATGTGTATTCCAACAGTCACATTGTCCCTTCTCATAATTTGATTACAAACCAGGCAAATGAGAGATCTGATCCAACCAATGACAACTATGCAGAAACATGCCTTTGTTAATGCACATTAAATGAGGAATGATGCCATGTGACATCTTAAAACTTTCACTAGGATTAAGGTTGCTGCCATGTCCCTTTATCACAATGTTGCTCTAACCTCCAAACATAAACCAATCAGACCCGATCAGGCTTCATAGAGCATGCAAAT